TGGACTAAAAGGTCTATGGCTTGGGAGGTTAACAGATTTTGCGGGTGTGGGGGCGTGGGGGCCAAAGGGTTGTGGCCAAGGGCTTAGAATGGTTCAGACTTTTTTTTTTTTTTGGCTTACAGGTTTCGCTGTTGCTTGATCGCGCCAGTATTTAGGGGTGCGGAGATCTTTAGCTTCAAGGTCTAGAGTCTGGAGGTTTGGAGTTCAGGGTTTGCTTTGCAGTTTAGGCTTGAGGGCTCTCAGCTCAGGGGCCACTGTTTTGATTTTGTTTCTCAAGCTGGGTACCCTTGAGGGACCTGGTTTGGGATTTATGAACGGTTTCACTAGAAGACTCCTCAGGTGAACCCATGAATATCACATTTGAAGCCCTAAACCCTATATAACTGAATTATAGTAGTTTCCATTTTCTNNTTCTTTTCCATTCTTCCAATATAACCCCAGTATGTTTCCCTATAATCTTTGTATAATCCCTATAGCCCAGAACCACAAAGATTCGGGGTCTTTCCAGATATGGGCCCTTAGCGATCCAAGGGGCTACTTGGGGAACGAAAACAAAAAGAATGTCGGAATCCATGTTGATGGTTCTTTGCGGGACTGATTTGGGAGATTTCCGCAAGTCTGCAACATGCCAGCTTGAACGAATTGCTTTGGCTTTGAATTGTTGTGTGCTCGGCATTTCCACCATGAACGACTGAACTCCCGAAACTTTCCAGCTGAAACATCTGCAATCGGTACCTGGACCCCTTCAGTAGTTTCCTTTGCCTTAGCAACTGCTGCATGACCACCTCAACAAATGCAAGCTAGATTCCTTGAACGGGAGCTACACCAAAAGGCAGGCCTTTGGTTTCCTTCTAAAACCCCAAGGCTGGATTGACCCCTAAAACCCTTTGAAAAATATTAGTATACAGGGTCCCTTATTCAAGCCATTAGGAAAATATTGAATGTCCCAGGGGCCTACCCAGAATGCTTACATAGTAGAATGTTGCTCAGACCTGGGCTGGTTTGAGCGAAGCTCCCAGCGCAAGGTGCCAAGGAGCAAAGGGCCCGCCTCTCCCACTCGTCAGCGATGGGATCGTTGACGCCGGCGGTCGGGCAGTAGAGCTCAGCCTTGTTCAGCGCGAAGAAGCCGGACAGGTACCTTAAGGCTTATTCTAGGTCAGAGATTAAGGACTATCGCCCAGGCTGCAGGGCCTCGGGCTTTTAATTTCTGGGGATATTGAAGGTTCATGTTGGGTTTAGGGTGTGAGGTAAAAAGCGAGCGGTTGGTATACTTGCTCTTCTCCAACCTTTATCTGTGGTCAAAGGCTTACGCGGCTGTTTGGGGCCTTGGTACGGATCTTCAAAGCCTGCGCATGCCTGATGCAAAATGTTTGCCTGAAGATACTTTGGGCTGTTGGGCAGATTTTTCGAAGCGACTGCGAAGGGTTGACAGTCTACATCTCAAATTATGCCCTGGGAACCCTATAGAGCCTCAGACCCTCAACCCCAAAACTGTTTCAAGAACCAAACGAATTATGCCCCGGCACCCGGGATCGACGCCCGTCCGGACTCCCTACATGGTAGGTGGTCAAATTCTCGTACCTTTTCCAAACATGGGGGCCAAATTATAGTCGGGACTCTAAGAACGGACCAAATTTTCGACAACTTACAACAAATAATTCCTATAATTACACCCTCCATATCCCAGATACGCCCTGAATCATATACTGTTTACATCCCCATCGCACGCCTTCAAAGAGACGTAGATATGGCACAGCGGCCTTGACTCCTATGACTATGACGGTTCAGGGTTCGAGGTATTCAGCCTGCCCTAGGAGGACCCCTAACCTGTAGTAGTGGTATAATAGGAATATAAGAGGACCCTAATATAATCCTATAATATCATCCCTTATAACCACTATTACTGGGTGGGGGGTCCACCTAAGCCCAACCTGTGTCTTCATGCATGGAGCTCGTGCTGGCAAATAACCAAAGGATCATGGCTGAATGAATGAAGTCTGACGCCTCGCAATGTCCAACTACTGGTCCACAATATTCACGAAAAGACGTTGTTGAATCGTGCCCAGTCCCCCCCCAACAACACACATGCATCCAAACAAACTTATGGATTATGGGCAGGTCTTATGTTTTGTAGAAATCCCAGGCTATCTGCATACAACACCATGGACCTCCTGCTATCAGGGCACTTTCCACCAGTGAACTTTTGGTTGGCATCCAGCTGGAGGCCGCCGACCATCGTTCTGATCCTAGGACATTGAAAGTTGGGATCTGGGTTGGCCCCTAAAACCTTTGAAAAATATTGGTATATAGGGTCCATTATTAAAGCCATTACGGAAAATATAAAATATCCCAGGGGCCTACCCAGGGATTAGGGTTTAGGGGTTTAGGGTTTAGGGTTAAGAAGCGAAGGGAGGCCTAAGCACTAAACCCGGGAACTGTTGGATACAATGAAACGCAAACCACTGGCACGAAGCCGTTGGCACGACGAAAAGGCTTACAAAGCCCTAGAACCTTGCATTTAAAGAAGCCCGAGACCCTGAATCCTGAATCGCAAAACTAAATCCCTACACCCTGAAACCTCATATGATCAACCCTCATATTCAAACAGGAAACCCTTCAACTAAATCGGAAACTTAAAGCCCCCTTTGCTGAAATCATCAAGCCAAAGACCAGAAAAGTAGGCCTAAAATCCCTGAACCCCGAAACCAAAACCCTAAACCCTAGAACCATCAACCCTGCACCCTGAACCCGAAAACTGGAACCATAATCCCTCAACCCTGAACCCTAATCCCCAATCCCTAATCCTAAACTGTAAGCCCTAAATCCTAAACCCTAATCCCCAATCCCTAACCC